GCAGTGGCACACCCCGATTTCAGCCCATCAAACGCTGCGAGAGCTGCAGCTTCCTTCCACTGAACCCCCGAAACTGATGCCACATTCAGGTGCCCACCTCACTTCCAACAAAGCCAAATAAATGTGTTCTCCCCTTCAATTTCATCCCCCATAACAGCAGGAAAAGGAGTTTTACTCAAATTATGGTAAAAGGGGGATTTTTACCTCAATTCAAACCCTTTAAAAGAAGGTACAGCAGGGCTGCCCCCCTCAATTGAAACCTTAGGATGATGCAAATGGTGGGAGGGATGGCTACCCTCAAATTAAACCCAAATATGACAACAATATTTTTCCCCTTCCATTTAAAATAGAACACAGGGATCCCCTGACACCCCCGTGATACTCCTAACACCATGGAAAAGGCAGTTTTTTCTTCAATCAATACCCTTAAAACCACAAATGAAGGGGGATACCCCCAGTCCAAATACAGACAATAATGGAAGAGAATTTGCTTCCCTCCATTTGAATTTCATTTGTCCTCATAAGCCCCCTTTTTTTTTTTTTTTTTTTTTTTTTTTTCCTGGGGGAACAGGGGAGGGGGATTGGCAAAATGAAATTGAAAAGGGAAAAGAGAAAAATCTGCTACAAGTCCACACAGGCTAACCTCTTTTGGCTGCTGGTTCCCAGCACAAAGGTTCGTCCCTCGGCATCTCCTTTAAGCAATGCTCCACGTATCCAGGTGCTGCCCCGCACCCTGTCAGAAGCTTTCACTGTCCTTCCATGAGACAGCCCCGGGAGCCCCCCATTAATCCCTCTCCTCCAGCAGCTCCATGTAAAAGTGAGCTGAGGAAAACCCCCTACAACAGTTCCCGGCAGGAGCCGCCCCGTCAACATGGTTACATGATTAAAAAACATACATGCATTGACCGTCATTGAGGGAAAGCTTTCCAGTGGAGGAAATAGTCATTTTGGTAGCACACCTTGATACACCTTCAGAAAAAGCAGAATCAGCACCAACTCCTAAGACCCCTGCTGAGGAACCCAGCCCTCCTTGGGACACCCAAAGCAGCAGACATCAAAAAAGCAGAGGAAAAGTCAAACTTGGAGTGGCAAAAGAGAACATAAGTACACCAGCCTTTAAAAAAAGCCTTCATACAGCAATAGTGGGAACCAGTCACATTGCTTCTTTCCTCGCTTTCTGTGATTACATAAACATGAAGTAAAAACACGTAAACATAAGGCAGAGCTAGGATTTTACAGGTCTTCATTTTGGCAATCTGGATGACAAACACCTTTTCTGGGACCGTGACACATTTTGGGGACTGGCAGAGAATGGAGGCAAAAGGTGCCAGAGAGTCCTTTCTATTCCCTTGAGTTCCTGCAGCAGTTCTGGTTTCAGGGCACTTTTTTGGTTCACTCCTAGATATAAACGTTATGGCACTATTTTCAAAACTACTACCCATCTCTAGTCAGGGTTTCCTACATTTCTGTATGCAAATGAGTGGATAGAGAGAGGGTTTCTTTCCAAATGAATTTAGCGATAAATTCCTATTCTTTACCAATGCCTATAAAAACAAACAAAAAAACCCCAACAACAACAACAACAACAACAAAAAGACAGGTTTTAGTATTCTATACCCACCCCTCCCTTTGAAAGGGACTCTGCTAGGACAAGAAATGAGGGGCAGCCCCCAGAAGGGTTGAAGTTCCTGCCCAGGCTCGCTGTCACAGGCCAGGGGCAGAGACGGCGGGGACGCGGCGGCACGGCACGGCTGACACGGCACGGCTCGGCACAGAGCGGGGCCACTCTCAGCACGGTGTTGGCAGAGCCGCAGGTCCGGCAGTGCCTGACCGCACGGGGGGATCCGCCGAGAGCCCCCGGCCCCGTGCGGGGACTCCTGCAAGAGCCGGGGGCGCCGGGCTCCGGCCCTCTGGGCTTTATTCTCCGCGCCCCGAGCCCCGCGGCTGCGGGGAAAGAAGGAAAGGGGGACGGGAAGAGAGGAGGGAGAGCAGGGCATGGAAAGGGTGGGGAGGGACATCAGGTGGTGGAGGAAAGCGGGAAGGGAAGGGAAAGTGTCGTGGTTTGACATAGAAAGAGAATTTTCTCAGAAGGAAGAGGTCAATTTGGATATTGACTAATTGAAGGTAGACACGCTTCTGAGAACACAGAGGAGTTAAAAGCAGAATTCTCAGGAGAACTCGCTCTCTTTGGTTCCGGTCAGCGTGCAGTGCAGACTCTCAGGGAAGGCAGAGAAGGGAGAGAGGGAGAATAAAAAGGAGACATCCTGTGCCGTTCGGAATTTCAGGAAGTTTAATCAGGACAAACATTTTTGTTCAGTTTCAAGACAAGTGTCTTTATTTTCCCAAATAAATCTGTTGTTCCTGTACCACACGTGCATCAACAACCCACCCTTGACATCCCCTGCCGTCTAGATTATCCGCTCCTCAGCCATGTCAAAGCCCCTTCAGCACTTTTGGGGGGTGGGGGGGGGTCCCATGCCCACTTTTTACTTTATTTCATTCCTTTCTATCAGCATGTAAACTTCAACTACTAATCATTAACTATTATTATAGCATATTTTATATATATATATATATATAAAATAGCATATAATATAGCCCACTTCTGTGGACATATATATTGAAAATATGTCATATATCTTTATATATATGAAGTGTATCTAGGTATAAATTAAAAATACAGGCATGTTTTTACACATATCTTTTTTACTATCTACATATATATAATATATAATGTTTAGATTTATATATTGTTATATGTAGTAGATACAATTCGCGCCATTTCTAACATGATATATGTGATATTGAATATTTGTTAGAGTATACATGTTTATATTAGGATTCCCCCCCAGGCGAGTCTGGGTGTATATTGGAAACTGATTTACAAGTAAGAAGGTACGGCTGGCCAGGAGATGGGCCATGTCTGGGGAGATACGGGAGCCCCAGGTGCTGATCGTTCGCGTGAATGACCCGAGATGGATGTGTAACAAGGAGTCAGCCTCAGCAGGGGTTTTCCTCCATGCCCACACACCTCCATCCTGGCACAAGCGGTTTTTATAGGGAAAATTCCGCCTGAGGCCAAGATTTCAGCAATCAGTCTTTTCTTCTATTCAGAGTCTATATGTTAATAAGATTTTCCTTTTTGGTGATGAGGGAGAACAAATCAGTGTCCGGAGTTTGTTGAATCCCTTGATGAAATTTACGGGAATTCGGGAACGCTGTATTCACATATATCTGCCTGAGGATTTCCATGATATCCATCTCGGATCATTCACGCGAACGATCAGCACCTGGGGTTTCTGTATCTCCCCAGACACGGCCCATCTCCTGGCGAGCTGTACCTTCTTACTTGTATATCAGTTTCCAATATACACCCGGTCTCGCCTGGGGGGGAATCCTAATACAAACGTGTATACTCTAACAAATATTCAATATCACATATATCATATTAGAAATGGCGCGAATTATATCTACTACATATAACAATGTCCTTTTTCATCTCCTTCCTGACCATTTCTGCTTCTCATTTCCTTCTCTTTTCTCTCTCTCTTCCCCTCTCCTATTGAAACACTTTAAATGTCAGAAAAAGGGGGATTTGCCCTCAATTTAAACTCTTAAAACCAAGGGATAACAGGGATTCACTTGCAATTTAAACCTTAAGGTGATGAAAATGGGGAGTTTGCCCTCAACTCAAACCCATAAAATGGCATCATAAAAGGTTTTCCCCTTCCCGTTAAACTAGAATATAACAATTGCCCATCAGCTGGTGGGCAGCTAAGTCCTGGAAAAGAGAGATTTTCCTTCAACTGATACCATTAAAACCATGGTGAAGGGGAATCCCCTCCAATTTAAACACAGCCAATAATGGAAAAGGAGGTTCTCCCCTCAAGCACCTCTTTTCTCTGGGGTCACTGGGATGCTCTAGAGAGGGACTAGGATGGGACCGAGGGCACTTGGAAGGGACTGAAGGCACTGGGATAGAACTGGAAAGATGAATTTGAAAAGAGAAAGGAGAATCTCCCCTGTACCCCCACGTGCTGCCTCACCTACTCAGGTGTGCTGCTCCCTCTCCTGCGCTCTCCTGGGTCACAGGGACTAACCTGCCCCTCCTCATCCTCACTGACCACACCCGGGACTGCTTCACCCCCTCCTCATCCTCACTGACCAGACCTGGGACTGTCCCAATCCTCCTCATCCTCACTGACCAGACCTGGGACTGTCCCAATCCTCCTCATCCTCACTGACCAGACCTGGGACTGCCCTGACCCTCCTCATCCTCACTGACCACCCCGGAGCTGCCCTGGATACTAATTTTCGCAGGAATTTCACTAAATCCCACTCTGAGTCTCACTCAATAAATGGAACAAGCCTTGCTGCTGTTCATATTACATATGAAGATGCCTAATGTGGAAAAAATCGGAGGAAAAATGGAATTTATAGGAATTTGTATGGAGTTTATAGGGACTCCTGCTATAGAGGGCGCCTGGGGTATGGTGTGGGGGAAAACCCGGACTGGATTTCCTGCAGTAGGGAATGGGGTAAATCCGGGACTAGATTTTACCAGAACACGGAATGGGGGAAAACCTGGACTGTATTACGGCTCGATCCCGGAATAGGTGTCCAAGACGTCGCTCGCACAGAGCCGTACAGCAGAGCGTGCACCCACGGTACCGAAATAGCAAACCGGCGGAAAGGCCGCTTCGGGCCGGCCGCATACGGGATCGCTCGTGCCCGCGGGAGGAGCGGAACTTGCGGCGCTCCCTCCCGCTCGTCGTAGGCGGGGCGGCGGCCGGGAGAGGCGGGGCCCGGCGGCCGGGAGAGGCGGGGCCCGGCGGCCGGGAGAGGCGGGGCCCGGCGGCCGGGAGAGGCGGGGCCCGGCGGCCGGGAGAGGCGGGGCCCGGCGGCCGGGAGAGGCGGGGCCCGGCGGCCGGGAGAGGCGGGGCCCGGCGGCCGGGAGAGGCGGGGCCCGGCGGCCGGGAGAGGCGGGGCCCGGCGGCCGGGAGAGGCGGGGCGGGGCCATGGCGGGGCCCGGCGGCGCGGCGCGGAGCCGCTTCGCCGTGGTGGGCGGCGGCATCGCGGGGGTCACCTGCGCCGAGAAGGTAACGGGGCCGCGGCTCTCCCTCCGTTCCCCCGCTCCCCGCCGGCCGGGAATTGTCCGCAGGGATGTGGGAGGCTCCCCCAGCCCGGGGTAGCCTCGGTGTGCCGGGCCCTTGGCGGCCCCGTGCCTGCACCGGCCGAGAGCGGCTGGAAGCGCCCCGCTGCCCGCGCTTGTGCACGGGCATCGAAACAGATCCACGCTGTAATTGCATGAATATTCGCATGTGATACTTCCTTACTCTGCCCTACACTCCCCTAATCCCCCTTTCTTAAAAATAATTTGTCTCGCTGGACAAAACACAAGCCGAGCGCAGCCCAGGGCAGCAGTGGTGTAATGTAAGGATGTTTTAATGTGAGTACGTCTCCAGATGTTCAAAGTTGATAAGGTTATTTTGAAGCAGTTCATGAAACGTTTCATAAAGAGAGTTACGGTTTTCATAGCTGCGGAATGCTGGCTCTCTGTGCCCTGCTCCAGAGGTCAGGGACTCGGGATCCCTGCAGGAATTATTCTAAAGGACTGTGCTGCAGCCGGGCAGAAGGCTGCTGTGATGTGCTCCTTTTTATTAGTACTGCTCAGTTTTTATAGGCTCCCTGTTTTAGAGCTGTATACCTCTTCCAGCTCTCTGTGAGCCCAAGCTCTGAAAATAAATTCGTCTGTTTCTTGGCCTCAAGGTTTTTGATGGTTTTAAAGTAACAGTTCCTGTAAAATGAAATTTGGACCTGTATAATGAAATTATGTGGCTATTAGTTTGATGAGGACTGTTTTATCTACTAGGGCTGCAGAGCAGCATACAGACTGTGTTTTGGAGGCACGTGTTCTCTGGTGATTTCAGGGTCCCTCTGGTTGGCATCCCTTCCCTCCTCCCCCCCCCCCCCCCCCCCCAAAAGCACCACGTGTCTTGGTCTGACTGTCACCTTGCTGAGCAGTGCACATTTAAAATGGGAGTCCTTCCCTTTGCCTTGGGGCTTCATAAGTCTTGCATTGCTTAATAGCACCCTGAAGATGATCAGTTTACTGGATAGGATATAAAATATCCAGGAGAAATCAGCATTTCATCTGTGAAAATGAAACCTGAAAGCAATTAGTCACTGCTGTGCAGTGAAAAAATGTGTATCCACCAACTGGGTGTCTCCAGAAATCACATGATCACAGTCTGATCCATCAGATGGCCTTTGGAATATTGTGACAATAATCCTTTACACTGCGGCTGCAGTTCTTGAAGGTATATTTTTAAAATAAATGTTGTGTCTCCCAAATTCTCTTCAGTCCTTATCCTTCTGTTATCCTGAAGTAGTGTTTTTTTCAATAAGATTCTACAAAATCAAGGTAATGTATTAACATACTGCTTTTCACCAGTAGTATTACTGTGTTCAGGTCTGATGATGACTCTCATCATGGTTTCTGTTTCTTTACAAGCTGGCTGCAGAGTTCCCATCAGAAGACATTTTTTTAGTGACAGCTTCCCCAGTTATAAAAGCTGTAACTAATTTCAAGCAGGTAAGAGAGACTTGATTTTTCTTACAGTAAGACATGTTCAAAGTTTACTTGTGAAGATAATTTAGAACCAGTGGTGAAGATGCTCACGACTTTGAGCTTGTTTTCATATTAGTGTGATTGCAGTGGTGTTAGTAATGAAACGTAAACTTTAAGGCATTTAGAGATTTTGAGGAGCTAAGATTTTAGTTAGAAATAAGCCTTACTAGAGTTAATTAAAATAAGAATAATAAATGAGTAGGCCTTGATGAAGTTAAGAGTTAGTAGTTAACTAATAATTAATTGCTTGTCAGCACAATGTTTGGTTAGCTGGGTTTATAATGAAGAATATAGAAACTGATAAATAGCTTTTAGGAACATAAGACAATTGTGGGCCTCCTCTGTTCTGAAACCAATTGAAGACAAGGAATGGGAGTTCTACCAAGAGTTCATTTGTCATACTTGCATTGAAAAGGTAGAAAGGTCAGAACGAGGAAGACTTCATTTACTTCCTCATTTTGGGACCCCTCCCCATAAAAGGGACCACCGACCCATTTCAAGGGACAAACTACGCATGCTTAATAGCTTTTAGAGTGATTAGCATACGAAGCGGGGAATGGGATGTACTAAAATTATGAATATGCATTTGTATTTTGTATATTCAATACTTGTATGGATAAAAAGACTCTGTAATCACCTGGAAGGTGGTGTGTATTTGGGAGCAATCCCGCACGCTGCGCGGCGTCGAATAAACATACACTTTCTAACTTTAAACTGTTAGAGAGTTTTTGTCCGTCACAGTTGGATATCGATACTAGATCAATATCCATACTTTTTTAATAAATCAGTAATACTGATGAGCTATTTTACAGTAATTAGTAATTGGTGAATATATTCACACCATGCAGGCAAAGGTTAAACCAGGTACTTACATGGCTGAAGTGTGCTTACTGAAGCTTTATTTCACTGCTTTATTAGTGAGTGACCTCTCAGAAGTACTGAAATGGTATCATAGTCTTGCTCAAGTTTGAATTTGGAGCAGCAACAGCCTGCTGACAAGTAGCAAAAGAAGGGATAGCCTTCTGGGGAGTTGCTTTGAGCTTTGTCTGCTCCAGCAGGTGCTGATTCAGTGACATCTTTCCTGCTGGTTTTAAAAAGAAAATCAAATGGATGCATGGATTCAGATTTGTGGCTAGTAGGGTCATGAAGCTGAGCCTGGGAGCCCTCTGTGGGATTGTTGGAGTAACACCCAACTTTCAGAATGCTTTCAGAATGCTTTCTGAAAGTGCTGAGTGTCCAGTAGAGACATTTGTACAGCACAGAGATGTAAAGTCTGTAATTCACAACAGTGGAAATTTACATATCTGAAAAATAAGGGAACAGCTAAGCACCATTGGAAGGCAGCAGCATCTAAGTTTTGGACATGAGCATCGTAATTTCTCTCTGAATTGCAAGCATCGTGTGGCTTCTGGCTCCTAACTGTGTTCCAAACTCTGAATATTCAGTGAAGTAACAGACCTGGATGTTTCCATGCAGCCACTCTCTTTTGGATAAAACACAAAATTGTCATCATCATTTGAATGTTTTTCAAGTTCTGGCTTGCATCTTTGGGGTTTTAATTTGGTTTATGCTTGTTTCTATTTGATGTTGTCCATTTCCCATGGGGTCTCTGAAATATCAGGTAGTGGCTTGGGATGAGTTATTTTATCAAAGTTACAAAAAAGAGAAAAACGAGGATTTTAACACTACGTCACAGTAGTGTTAAAAAGAAAAAGCAGTGTTAACAACTTTTTAAATACACTTCTTTATGGAATGAAACATTGTAGCAGTTAGAACAACTGCCAGGATTCTCCATTTTTGCTTAATCTCTATCTTTAGAATTAACATGTAATACTTTGACTCTTCAACCAGGAACAGGCATGAAAAGATTCTGTATTGAAAAATAAACTTTTAGCAGTTACATGATAACACATTTTCAGACAATATGGGCTTTATGTTGTGACTTTTTTACTATAAATGAGCACAGCACCTTCTGTCAAAAGCTTTAGAAGAAAAAATGGGTAATGATCCATATTTTTAAATACTTCTCTTTTCTCCTACAGGTCTCCAAAACACTTGAGGAATTTGATGTCGAAGAGCAACCAAGTTCCCTATTAGAAAAACGATATCCCAATATTAGAGTTATACAATCTGGAGTAAAACAGCTGAAAAGTGATGAACATGTAAGCCAAGGTTTTCTTTTTTATTTGGTTTTTCAGGTTATGTATATAAAAATAAGAAGTAGCTGAATGTTTTGGGTAAGAAATTTTCTTCAATAATATTTTGGTTATTGAATTGATAAGTTACCAAAATTAAAGAAAATATTTCCTAATTCTAATTTCACTTACTGCTTTGCACTGTTTTTCTAGTAGAAATATATACAGAGATCAAAACAAAAATCTTGAAAGAACCAACATTTCCACCTTTTCTTCCTTCATTTTAGCAGGAAATACGTTGCAAATATGAGCAATGGACAGCATGTACACACCCTTGTTAGCTCTGTGTCAACACATTATTTTCACACTCACATCCCAAACTGGTTTTGCTCACTTTTAAGGTTTGGAGATGTAATTCCAGGTAGATTCTGCTAACATTCTGAATCCAATGGTTTTTTTTATTTTACTAGGATAGTGTTTTAATATAGGTCTTGGTGGACACAAATAATTAATCTATGTGGATTTGGAGGATCTTTTGCCCAAAACCACATTAAACTATGCAGCTTCTAGATTACAGAACAACAAATAATGTCATAAAATATTAAAATTTAAGGTCTTGTTTCTCAGAATGACGTAGCTTATTTAGTGCCTCCACTTTTTCTTCAGCAAAGAACAGATTTGCAGTCTTTCTAAACTGTGTCCTATCCTGTGCCTCGTTAACTGAGAGCTACTGCTGTTGAAATGTTTGAATGAGATTGTCAATTGCTAATGTACAGCAGTGCATAGTTCTGTTCCTGGGGCCTGAGGGACATTTGTCACATAGATAATACAGAACTCTTTTAGCACAGCCACTGAGTACAAAGTGCCACCAAGTGGTAAACTTGATCTAGCTTCGAGTGCACTGTGTACAGTTCCCATTTTATTGATCACTTATTTGTGGTGAGTGTGGTGGGAATAAGTGACACACAGTCAGGAGGAATATGAAGCCTTGTTCCTTAAGAAGCCCCTTACAGATTTTCATATCTGCAAATTACTGTGACATTACAGAAAGAGAAAACTGATGTGCTCTTAGTTGTCTTGATTTAGATGAATTCTCTTAGGGGAATTGATTTTTCTTCTCTCTTCACTGTTAACAGAAAATTTACACTGAAGATGGGAAAGAATACATATATGAAAAACTCTGCCTGTGCGCTGGAGCCAAACCAAAATTAATTGTTGAAGGGAACCCGTATGTATTAGGAATCCGGGACACTGACAGTGCACAGGTGAATGTGTTTAGGACTTAAAAATGTGTAATATATTCCTGCATCTGGTGCAAAATACCAGAATTATTGTGGAGGGAAATGGAGAAACAGAAAATAATGATTGTTGTTATATATTCTTAAATAGGAACATTTTCACTAGCAGAAAAACAGCCTTATAATGCCACCAAATTAATGTCACTATATTTTTTAAGTTTATAGATAGCTCATGCACATTATTCCTAACATGATAATATGGAATAAACAATATTTTTTTCACCCTCCAGTCAGAATCCAATTGGAAAATATAAAGAAATTTCCCTGGGAAGGTATGTGTGGTACCTGCTACAAAGGGCTGCTTCATGCAGTGGAAAGCTACTGAAGGAATGCCTTTTTATTCTTTTGTTGTTCTACTGTAGCTTCTCCTCTTTGTAGAAAAGAGTAAGAAATAGTCAAAGATGTGGAAAAGTTTTCACCTGAGAAATAACTTAATAGACTAAAAATTAAGCTTGGGAGGCAAAGGTGAAGTTTCACTGCTACAGGTCTTCAGAATTAGAGGAGGCAGGGTGAGCACTGCTGTTCTGTAGCATGGAGCTGCCATTCATCAAATGAAGCTGGACCTTGAGGATAAAAAAAGCAGTTATACTTTCAAAGAATCTGAAGTGAAACTGAAATTGTTGTTTGTTACAACAGCTCCTGGTACAGGTCTCAGTGTAGCTAGATGTGCATCAATAGTCTGGGAAAATCAAGATTAAGAGCAAGAAAATACTGGAAAGGATATGGTTGATCAGTGTGAGGGAACATGCTCTAAGTGACATTTTTCTTTTCTTAATGCAGGCTTTTCAGAAGAATTTGGCTCAAGCTGAGAGAATAGTGGTGGTAGGAAATGGTGGGATTGCCCTTGAATTAGTGTAAGTGAACAAAAAATACATATATAAAATATTGAACAATGCAATGCTAAGTCTAGTGTACATGAGTTGGAGAAGGTTGACTTATACAATTTTATCTCTTAGAGCATTTAGTAGCAAAACTGATTACAGGGTTGGTTTGGTTTTTTTGGGGTTTTTTTTTGCAACATAGTGTTTTTTACTGACACATAAAATTAGGAAACCTCCAGAAGAAGCTTTGACACATAGATATCAAGAATATTCAGTTCATGTTCCACATAGTGCAAACAAGATCCAAATGCTTGTTTTTTAACAGTAGGAGCCTGGCAGAAATGCACGTACTTTTCATTATGGGGAGCAGAAATACTAATTACTAGTATTATAAATTTGATCTGCCCCCCACCCCCTACCCCAGTTCAGTCAAGGTTGTGTTGGTGAGAAAATATGACTTGTCAACTTGAAGAGATTTTTTTTTTTCCTTATGTAAATATTTAGAAGTGGATTTGATAGGTTGGAAATTTTGTGTTGCTAACAGTCAGATCCTTCTCAGGCAGTCTGTCACTTTATCCCTTGTTTAAATGCCCACAGGTATGAAATTCAAGGCTGTGAAGTAATCTGGGCTATCAAAGACAAAGCCATTGGGAACACTTTCTTTGATTCAGGAGCAGCTGAATTCCTCCTTCCAAAGCTCACTGCTGAAGGCCGAGAGACTCCAATTGAGTGTAAAAGAACCAAGTACACAGTGGAAGGTATGGGGTTTAGCTTCCTGACACTGCAGCAGCAGCATTTCATATTAAACATAGTCTTAACATCAGTCAATTTAGCAGCTTGGAATAAGGCTTACGGTTATCATCAATGACATTTCTTTCTTCAAAAACTGAGAGTAAAAAAGCAAAATAAAAACCCATCCCAAATTTATGTAGACAGAATGTAATACAGTTTCCTGTGAGCTGTAAAAAAGTGCTTACCTTTGTGCCAAATTTATATTAATTCCCTGCATTCCTTCTGCTGAAGAACTTGTTCTATTTTTTGTAATGTTTTGATGTTACCTCACCATTATATAGGGAGGAGCTGTCACAGTAAGATATTGGGGGAGCAGATGAAACCACACAGAACATTATTACAGGTGGAGTGAAACTGCAGTCTCAGAAAGAACAATTAACTAGCACTGCATGAACAAACATCACACAAACATATGTATGACCAAAGTTGTAACAAAAAGAAGAGCGTGGCTCTAGACACCAGGCAGGAAGAATAAGGATATTACACTAGATGGTATTTTTTTATTAATTGAGAATCCTTGTTCTGAATTCTGAAGACAAGGCAGTATGCACACTAAATCTGATATATTCCATGTCTTTGCTTCAGGAAGTGAGGAGAAAGGAAGACCTACAGGAGCATCTGACAAGCTAGGCAGTGCCTTAGGCCCCGACTGGCATGAGGGCTTACACCTTAAAGGGACTAAGGAGGTATGGGTATAACCTTGCTGGCATATTGATTTGAGTGTTGTGGGCATAAGCATTGGGAAGAGTTTGCAATAAAATCCTCACGTTTAATTTTTTTTTTTCATTTATGAATTCCTGAGCTGTTAGGTGTTTGCGTCTGTTTTGCATTTAAGAAATGACCTGTCAAGGGTGATCAGTCATAGAACAAATAAAAGGACATTTAGGATATTTAGCAGTTTAATCAGTGGTGGTTTGGCTGTTGAAGGCTGTGGAACTGTATTTGTGTAGTAAGAGAATAAAACAAGGCCCAAATTCACAAAACAATTTAGAGAAACAGGTAAGTTTCCAACTTCTGTCTTGAGCTCAGAATATGGTTGAAATGTGGGTTAATGGTACAGAATATTTTTTCTTTTTACAGTGTTTAGAACATATACTTATTATTGTTACCAGAATTTAATTAATGATAGAAAAACAAAGGATTTGCAATCCTGAAAGACAGAAAAGATGAGTTTAGTTTATTCTGTTAAGGTTTGAACTCTCTTCCTGTAAGCTTAGGGGAACCTGAATATGTTTTCTAGCATTCCAGAAAAATATAATTGTTAGGAATTTTCAAGGAATATCAGATACCTGTTGAAAAAGCAGGTAAATTGCCATTGGCTATGGTTAGACCTGTGGCAAAATGAGGAAAGTGTGGGAATCCAGTTAGTCAGCTGGGATATATTGTGGGGGGTTTTCCACTTTAGTGGTATCAATTTAGGTGAAGATATCCTTGCTATTCTCAATCTTGCAATCGCTAATCATTATGTTTATAATTCTGTCATTTTTTCTTTAGTTTTCTCATAAAGTACATATTGAAACACTGTGTGAAGTAAAGAAAATACACTTCCAGCAAGAATTTATCCAACTGCAGTGGACTTCCTTGACTTTTCCTAAAGGAGAGAAAAATGTAGAAGCAGATGAGGGTGAGTGCCATTGCTGATAAGACACTGAAGATGGATCGGTGCTGGAGCATGTTTGATCTTGTTTGCTGTTTTAAAGCAAATGCAGTTTAGAAAAATAAATATTATATCTCTATAATCTGATGTCTAGCAGTTTACAATAATCAAATTTATGGGCTGCAATTAAAATACAAAATGTTACAGGTCAGACACTTTTTTCCACAAAGTAACCAAAATTCTGTATGCAGAATATTCCATCCTAACACAATCCATTAAATATTTTAATAGTGAAGTTAAAGCAGGAGAAAAAAAACCCTCACCAACGTTTTGTATCAAAACTGAAATAAACCTTCCAAGTAGAGGAAAATATTCCCTTTTTTAAAAATGAATAATTATGCCTATAATTTTCACCTAATTAAAATGAATATTTAAAGTACTATTAAAGTAATCAGTTACTTTCAGCACAAGTCAAATCTGTGCCGTTCTTTTTGCTTTTGAGGCACTTCTGTGCATCTGTAAATTTCTACATAAATTTCATACTTGAGAGAACATCCCACAGGACACAGAGGGCTTTAATTTAGGAAAATTCTAAGAAAGTTAGTAGGAGTTGGAGCTGAGATCCAAAATCTCTAGTTCTGAGCAATGGTAAGAATAGTTATGGGTAATCTCTGATAATTTTTTCCTTTTTATTTTTAATCTTTCTTTACCTATTCAGCTACCTCTAAGGTTTTGTAGGGTTTTTTTCCCTTTCATATCTTATCATAAGACATAATTAATAATATAACTTCAATTGGTTACATTCTTGGGGCAAAACTTTCCTCTTTTTCAGTGCTGTGGCCTGTATATGTGGAATTAAGTAATGGAAAAATTTATGGATGCAATTTCATTGTCAGTGCAACTGGAGTTGTGCCAAATGTTGAACCATTTCTGGATGGCAATAATGTAAGTATATTGGTTTCTTTTGAAGCTTTTCAACTAAGGTTAAAGAAACCTCTTCAACTGGTTTATGCTCGTGTTCTGATATGAAACATGGATTGCTAAAGATTTAAATACTGTGCACCATCTCAAAATAAGGCAGGTTATGTTGATAGTGAGATATCCAACACGATATGTTGCGTTGCGTTACCCTCTCACCGCGACACCCCGAGCGCGGGCGTGCTGGGCGGCAAGGGAAGAGGAGGGGGCGGCCGGTCCCCCTGTGAAGCTCTGCAGTCCCAGTTGTCGGTGCGGGGACAAACGGAGGCGGCACGGGACTTGGGGGTGAACAGGATGGGTTTATTCAACATGGCCCAAGACACTTTGTGGGGGGGAGACAACAGGTTTTATAGGGGAATAGCAGGGAAGGAGTTTGGGGCAGGACTAACACACCATAAACCTATCAGGGAAAACAAGGGAGTGGAGTAACACAAAGTAACCAATAGGGTGTTGAGCCTCATTAAATAGACAGGGACTGTCCTGGGGAAAGGGGCAGGGAAAGGGAGGATTCACATCTTGGAGAGAGGGGGGTTGGGAATGAGCTAGGGAAGATTACCAGCTGGGGAAGGGGAGAGACAGCAGGGAAGGGGATATAAACAGACACTGAAAGAATAAAAAACATGCCCCCGCAACGATACAAGTGTATTTGATTTGTGGTCTTGGTTTATTATATTGTTCCCCAGGCATTTATATACAATACATAAGCAGTATTAAGCCTATGCAGAGAGAGAAAAGCATCTGTACAATTGGCTAATGTGGCAAAAATATAGAATAATTTCAGTGTTAGTTCTATACCATAGTCTTACCTTACTAATCTTGACATTTGCTCCTGGAAAGGAAGCAACTATTTCCAGTACATTTCATCTGGGACACTGAGCTGCCAAGGTGCTCATGTTCATTGAGAGAAGTCAGCACCCAAATGTGGATGGTGATTCCAGAGTTCATAACTGCCATGTGAATTTCCACACCTCAGGATCACTTTGTTTCTGTGTTCAGTGCCTGCTCAGCAACAACTAAAACATCCCTGGGTTATTAACACTGTTTTCTTCACAAGTCCAACAAATAGCCCCATACAAGCTACTACTAAAAAATGATCCCATACGAAACCAGGATGTTGTGGTATTTCACGTTAAGTGATGCCACCTGATTAGGAAATAAAAGGCTGTGCTCTGGTTACAGAAGGAAATGCTGAAAACATAGATCTGATGTTGAGCCATAAGATATTTCTAGGCCCATGCTATAAGCTTAGATCAGGAATTAAGTTTTTGCAATGGTATTTTCTTGCCTTGGCAAGAAAAATCATCTCTTAAGACTGGGCGTCCCTGTACCACACAGTGTGATTTCGAATTTGGCAAACCCTGTGACTTCCCTGCCTAGGTATCAGTCATAGTCCTTTAAAAACCTGTGCTCTAGAAATAGTAACAACAGTAATGTCTTGCACCTTCCATGGAGCTCTTGCCACTCAGCATAGTCACATGGTAAATAATAAAGGAACAGCCGATTGCTGAAGGGGGAGGGAGTTGGATGCCTTTCTGACTAGTTTCATTGCTGATGTGTGAACCCCTTCAGTTTGCTGTGGGTGAAGATGGAGGACTGAAGGTAGACAAGCACATGCACACGTCGCTGCCAGATGTGTTTGCAGCTGGAGATATCTGCACAGCAGCGTGGGAGCCCAGCCCCGTGTGGCACCAGGTATGTCCTCGCCCATGTGACCCACAGGGAGTTACACACCAAGGAGGGAAAGGTTAAGCTAGTGGATAATCCTAGAGGGTTGGTGACTGAGTTTTGTGGAGGTGGCTGGAAACCAAGCTGGCCAGCCCTTCTGAGTATTAAAAACCAAGTATTTGTTTTGAGATTTGTTTGAGTATTCACTGCAGTGAGTGTGGTCATGGCACAGTGATGGTCTTGTGAGTTAAACCTGCCCAATTTCCTCTTCCAGATGAGGCTGTGGACCCAAGCTCGGCAGATGGGATGGTATGCAGCAAAGTGCATGGCAGCAGATGCTTTAGGGGAATCTATTGATATGGATTTCAGCTTTGAACTATTTGCCCACATTACAAAATTTTTCAATTACAAGGTCAGTACGGTCTGATGGTTGTAAACCACTGAGTAACACATACTGCTTGCTTATATTCACTCACTGACACTGAGCAGATGCTTTGAGAAAACAGGTTTTTTTATATAGTAATTAATCCTAGCTTAGATTTTCTCCATTCATACTAATGTGTATATTTCAAGGGGAAGATTTTGAGTCCATTGTGTGTTTGCAGGCCAGTAATGGGGAGAGGGACATTGGGGACAAATATTTCCCTGTTTGCATCACTTCTGAGACCCAGAACTCTTAGGAGCAGAAATGCTATAAGGCACTGCAATGTTCTTATGAGAGCTTTTCCCTTTTCCTTCTGCTAGGTGGTGGTTTTGGGAAGGTACAATGCTCAGGGCCTGGGCTCAGACCACGAGCTGATCCTGAGATGTACCAAAGGCCACGAGTACGTGAAAGTGGTGATGCAGAACGGCCGAATGATGGGAGCTGTGCTCATTGGCGAAACAGACTTGGAAGAAACTTTTGAAAACTTAATTTTAAATCAAATGGATCTTTCAGCCTATGGTGAAGATCTCCTAAATCCAGATATTGATATAGAAGATTATTTTGATTGAACAATACCCCATTCCCATTTTGTATGAAGCTTTGATACCAAGTCATACATCTTAGAAAACTCTTTTCTCAGGATTACCAATGAGGGATAAATGCAATCCTCTATTAAGATTTTGGGTTGATCTTGCCAAAATACTGACTGGTTACTGCCACAGGTACCAGCGAATGGTACAACCTCTGTCGAGCTGGCTCAGATGAACAGGGTTTTAAGGCACAGGGTGCTCAGAGCTTTTGCTGCCTGGAATGTGGGTTGCAAATATATGGCCTTACTCAGTTTTTTTTTTCTCCTTTTCTTCCCCCCCACATAAGTTTACTTCTGAAATACATTTATTTGCTGCTCAGTTAATTACAGAACACAAGCCTTGCACAATGAGAGCCAGGATGAGATGTCAGTTGAAAGCAACTTTTTAACTGCTTGTCCCTTCAGCTGTCCAGATGTTGGGGTAGAGTTGCACTGTATTGGATAATGCCAGCCCTGGACAGCAGTTGTTTCATCCTGGCTTTTGATTTTGTTCTGCACTTGCTGCCTGAGAGTTCCTATTTATTTTGGGTCAAATTTGGAACAATTTTACTGTAATCAATACAAGGCTGGCAGTACATATTGAGACTTGTCCCAGACAAATCACTTAATATTTTTTAGGAGAATGACTGTTTTTAACTAAATTTTCAATTTTTGGCAAAGGTCTCAGCTAAAGGATGGGTGAAAGACTATAGGCTTTACTCACTGTCACAATCTTACCAGAAGAATAAAGATAATGATATTAGTGTTATATTTGTTATACATGTAAGTGTAAGAGAGAAGAACTAAAATGCAACCACCCAGAACTTGCATTTATTAATGAAACCAAACATGCCTTTCTGATCTTTGGCTAAGATGTTAAAAGTAAGAAAAGAAAACTGAATCTAGTAGACAGCATATGTGCCTTGAGAATGCACTGCAGGCAGCAGTAGCTGTTGAGTGTTTCCTAGGCTGGCAGTTGTCTTGTTTGTAAACTTAACTTTAGGTACTTCTGCTAAAAGCACAGAAGTCATAAATTTCTATTTGAATAACAACCTAGAGAAGTCCAATTTTAAGAGCAACAGACATATTTCAAAGGAATAAATACACATAATCACTCAACTACATACAGTATTTCATTCAAACATGCCACAGTGAGTGTAGGGACACATGTTCCTGCTCTGAACTGCAGAGATGGCAATGCCCACGTGGGCTGGAACAACCAGCCCTGGCACAGCAGCAGCTCTGACCTAGCCAGGGCTCCAGGGGAAGGATGCTGGAGCATCCCAGTCTCCAGCTGTCTGATGTCACTCCCTGGGGCTGGTGACAGCAGCTGCCCTGGGAAAGCAGTGCCCTGGCTGCAGTGGAGTCACTGGTGAAGAGGAAAGTCACCTGCACAGCAGGCAAAAGGAACAGGAGGTGACAGGGTCTTCATGCAGAGCTAAGGACCACCAAGCCCTGTACTGCAAAGGAGAGAAATCTCAAGAGGACTCTCAGGGGAGCACTGGGTGGAGACTCCCATAGGAAGGAAGTCTGGAAACCTCTGGATCTCTGGCAGTCCTTTCCAGGCTGCCTGAACCTGCTACAGTGTTACTATATACTACACATCCAAAAGAGTTAAAAAGCCCACATGGTCATTATATAGGTTTTGTAATCACTGCTGTATCCTAAGATATGTACCAATTATTTTGATATGAAACACTTTTTCCTTCACTACTAGCCTTGTAGACTTGACAGTTTTTAAAGATATTTGTTCCCTGTTCAGTGTTTATTAAATAAAAATACCATTACAAAAGCACAAACTGAACTTGCACACTGCATTGTCCATAGAGCAGCAATCATGATTAGATCCTAAATGTAGTCTGTGATACTCAGTCAATAAGCACTGGTTGGTCATTTGCACCTGCCTGAAGCTTAGGCTTCTTTGCTTTTAAGTTAGGACCAGAGCTGGGCCGTTTATGTTCCTGTGATTTCTTCACCACTGAATCCTGGACAGTCTTTGATCCAGTCTGGGCATTTTCTCTGCTTCCTTTTGAATTTGAAGACTGAGATGATTTGACCTGTAAGATTTAAGAGTTCAATTAAAATTCTAACATTGTTTTCCTCGTTCCCACACAAGACAGAAGATATTTCTGAGGTTGACTGCATTACTACAAAACATGTTTTGAGCAGATACCAAATCATTAAATTACGCTCTAATGGAGAAGATAGCTGTATGGCAAATCAGACCAGATCTAAATACCTTGAAAAAGCTTTTGCTGTTTGTTATCCCTTCTATGGTGATGATGTGTCCCTCGTTTTTCAGCAGCCGGGCTTTTGGTCCTACCTTCAGGTAGGATATTGTAGCAAAGGCTGTGAAGCTGAAATCCTCCCTGCATGAATAAAATCACTGTTACAAGGGAAGGCCTGAGACAGGCCAGAATATGCAGGGGGAAAAAATAGAATCAAGGTTAGAAAAGACCTCTAAGATTATCAAGTCCAACCATCAACCCAGCACTGCCACTAAGCCATATCCTCAGGTGCCATATCCTGGCACCTGACCACTGTTCACAAAACATGTGGCTTAAAAAAAACATGTCCCAGGAATGGTGACTCCCCCACTTCCCTAGGCAGCCTGCCTAAATCTCAACAACTCTTTCCATAAGGACAGGGACACATTAACCCTTCTGATGATGCTCCAAATAACAGCTTCATTCTGCTTTATCTATTCAAGTAGACAGGTGACTTAGAGCTACTCTGATTAACACTTGACATAATTCAGTTTGTGGACCTTGACACACACAAAAACACTCAGTTGCACACTTATCAATCTCTTGAAACACATAGAGGAAAATGAGGAAAAAAGATGTAATAAGTCATCTGCTAACCCTCTTAATAATGTTAAAAAAACTGTATGGAGAGATGCAAAGAAAAATTAAGTCAAAATAAAGGGATTAGATATTTGCAGATAAACTTATAAAATTATATGAGAAGACAAAACACATAGCACACAGGTTACAGAGGCAGCACTGTTGTTAGTTCCACTATGCTTCCTTAAAATTTCTGAGTACCAATTTCCATATTAGCCAGTTTTTCCTGATTTATACATCGTGTGGGCAACCCCATTTGCTTTCCTTATGTATGGATTGTGAATGAGATCTGTATGAACTGCAGACTTCTCCAAAATTAAATCCTGCTGCAGATTTAAACATTCTACCCGAATACAGAAGACCCCAGCTTTTTAAAATTGCACAAGACGCAGCACTTCCACTGTTCCTCCAACTTTTGAAATGGAAATATAGCAATGCTTGAAGGGTTTTTAACAGTACATTAAATGCATCTGAAATGAAAACAAGACTACAGAATGTATACATTAATGTTATACAGCAGTAACAAGACAGCAAGGAAAAATGACTACTAAATGTAAAAAACCAAAACACATGAAACAATCTTGCATACTTCAGATACTGCTGCAGCAGTAAATGGGCAATAATTCTCTCCAGCTCCTCTCGAGTGTGCTTGGGTGGAGTAACTTCAGGGACCCTGAATTTGGACACCCCTTTCCCAGACCAGGCATCGATTAATTTCAGTGGGGTGAGTTTCTCACTCATGCTGTCAGCTTGCTCAAGGATCTTTATTAGATCACTGCAGTATCCTGTTACATCCATCTTCTCACATTCTGCAAATAAAAGTCAAGGAACATTTAAATAGAAATCTCTTTGTAGTTATAGTTATATGTAGCTATAAATACATATATTTGTGCTATATAATAGCAAGGCTTTTTTTGTTTTGCTTTTAAACTAACTTGGCAACAAAAGGCCACAAAAACTGATATTCATAATAAAATCTGCACCCTGAAAACAGTCAGTAATACAAGCACATGTCACAAAATTTGCTTACAGCTTTTCTACACCAGGTATTTCTTTAAATCATCTTTTCCCATGTTCTCTGTCCTTTACCTACCCTTCTCTCTACAGCAGTTATCACACATTCTGTTGCAGTTTGCAGAATCCCACACCTCATCAAAGTGGTGGGCTATGAGCACCCGGCGACACCTGAAGAGCAGAGAGCAGAGGGGGCTATAGATCCCAGGTGGATATGTAACACCTGCCTTATACAGCATGAAAATGGCAAAAAAGGTCCTATGTACAGCTCAGATCTCAAAACAAGCTAAAAGAATTACCAGAGGAAAAATCAGAGAACAAATACAGCAACACCAGTATTCCCTATCAGCTATGCCAATACTGGTGTAGGAACAGTTTGGTTGAAGCACAAGAGTATAATCTGCAGTTTCAAGAGAATGAAAAATGGTAAGAATATGAACTCATTGCTACACTGAGGCCACAAAAGGCTTTACTCAATGCACCAGTTGTCCACAACATGGAGACAGATGTTTTCCATTAAGTATTCTAAATATCAGTGAAGCAGATGAAGCAGCAAACACATGTGCATTCCTATGTGGCCATTAAACACTGTAGCTCAGAGTCAAAACCACAGAACTCCATTATTTCCTCTGACTGGGATTTGAAATCCAAACAGTGTTTGTTGACAGATATTTCACCTCAACATAACCACTTCCAAAATTGTATCCTAAAGCTGGCAAGCTTGTTCTTATTTTTATGAGTGGTTTTCTTTAGTGATGGATTCATTTTGGTTTTATTTCAGGTTTTTAATTTTGTTTTGTGGTTTTTTCCAAATGCCCCCTAAAAACCTCAACAAAATTAGCCCATTTAAAAACTAAGCAATCAAGCCACAACAGTAACTTACTTGTTCATATTTTGGCAATAAGACACCATATCATACAGCTTCTCTTGGCCAACATTTTCCATCACCACCATTGAGCTGATTCTGAATATATCTCCAAACCCATAATACAAAATGCAGTCAGCCTTTTGGTCATCTCTACCTGCAATGCATTAAAATGAACAGATAATTGCAATCTCAGCCTATTGCCCCTCAAATTCCTTGACACCACATAGATTCAAATCTGCCTTAAAAAAAAAAAATGAGATAAACAAGATAAAAAAAACCTCAAAACACTGCAAAATATTTTTGGGTGCGGAGTTTGGCCATAACATGTATTTAGTGCTGCTGAACATTGATCAATCCTTAAAATTCCCTGCTCTAGACTCCCCATCCCACATGTATTTCTGAAATTCATACAGTGATTAAACTTCATCTAGAGGCAATCTGAGCAGATCACACATCCCAGGTAATATACAAAATAAAAAAACTAAAATTGTATATCAAATCTGTATCATTTTATTCTGGCAAGCCACAGATTTAATGGAAAGTCAAGTATTTAAAAAAATGCTGAGGGGAGGTCTAGATACCCAGTTATTCTTTGTTACATTGCAGTGGAGGCCTGGTCATGAATGCAGTTTATATTTAAAGCCTCTTTACAGAGGCAGTTTCATTACACCCTTTGAAAACTATCTCAAAGGCAAGAGACTTAACACAAATGCCCAGAAAATTGAAGGACAGTTTTACTGGTGTAATGGATGTAAATGGCAACTTTGCAAAAGCCCCTTTCTGCAATACCTGCACGTCCACTCTCTTGGTAGTAGTTTTCCATGGACTTGCTCATAGAGTGGTGAATTACAAACCTCACATCAGGTTTATCAATTCCCATGCCAAAAGCAACAGTTGCCACTACAACCTGTGAAAAATAAAAAGATTAAGAAATCAAGATACCATACCACAATTTGTTTAAATAAGACATTAAGTCCATGTAAAGTATTTACTTAACCTGGATTTGATTTGTTGCCCATCCTTTATGAACTTTGGTTTTATATTTAGCATCCATGTTTGCATGGTAAGTCCCTGCTTTGATTCCCAGTTTCTGCAAACTCACAGTAACTTGCTCAGAATCCTTCTGAGAAAAGCAGTAAACAATTCCTGCACAAAAATGAAAGAGGCCTCATTGTAATGCCCTAAAAAGGCCAAACAATCCCAAATACTTAAAAACAATTGTGAAAGCTTTATTAACTTATGAAATAAATAATTAAAAAGCATTATACAGTCTTTGTGCCCGTTTAGTCCATAGTATTGGTATTCATGAAGGAAAATCCGGTTATCAGCTTGGACCTGAAGGCTAAAGAGGAAATACAAGTGCCAACCCATAGAACCATGGAAGCATTCTATTAATATTCAAGGAAGACAATGCTTATTAAAGCTTTTTAAAGGGGTGCTATGCCTTATGACATCTATAGCACCTCACCTGAGATTTCAGTTAAATCTGCATTTTGTCATTAGTCAGGCTGGGCTAATGTCATCCTGTTCTTTTGAGAGTTTTCAAGGCCTTCTAAAAGTTTTCTATGCCTTCTGATGTTTACATATTTATACTGAATTTTCTCACACTGTTCTTGTAAATAATGATTGCTTTGCATTCTTCTTTGTGGGTGGAAAGAATTGATGGACTGTTGGTTTGACCAGTGTAGTTGGAGAGGTGGCAATTTCATTCTCAAATCCACTGTCACTTTTGATATTCTACATGTAGTGGAGTCAGAAAATAAAATCTCTTTTTTGGGTTCTTTTCTTTCCCCTTTTACATCTAGCATCCGTGTGTGAGTTATTTTGTGTCACAGTGTGACAAGCTAAATCAGGGATTACACACAAAGCCATGTGATTTTTGATCATCTTAGCACAGTTTGCGCTCAGGGAGCTGCTCCTCACAGCCACAGTTCTCCAAGCAGAGACAGGGACAGACTGCTGCTCCAGAACCTGGGTTCTGCTGCCTTGGCAAGATGTCTCTCCTCTTTACTTCCACTACAGAACTTATTGATTACACAAGTTCAACTCTTACAATTCTGCTTTTATCTCCAATTCACTCCATAACACCCATTTTGGACACTGAGTAACCTATGACTCTTCTGATCAAATATAAAAAATATGTTAAAGATAACAAATACCCTGACACATGTGTAGTAAATAATGTGTGATTTAAGAACAAAGAGATCACCTTTTCTGAGCCTTTCTTTTACAATCTTAAACCCTCCTACTATTACCTATGTAAACATTGTTCGTTCTATAGACATCAACATTCCAGTTAAATACTTCCAAAGATACAAGTGAACAGTAAAGATATTTAAACATTAATGAATGAAGAAAGAAATTATTCATGGTATGGATCTCACTAAATTTCATTTATTCTAATGCTGGATGTTTAACGTATGGAGGAGGCAGAATTTCTTCACATGTTTCAAGATCATTTGAAAACATCCTAACATCCCTGCAATGCTAAATCTTATGAAAGAACATGTGTCATTTGTGACACTTTTTACCTGACATTCCTTTGTATCTTCCATTAATGGTCTTAACTATATCCTCAATGAAATCTTCATTATTTGAAGGCTTATGCCGAACCTCAAAAATATATCAAGCACATGTCACAGTTCAAGTGGGCAGTCTGCCAAACAACTTATTTTACTTTTTCCAGTATAATAAATACAACTATTTTCTGTTAAAAAAATTACTATACTATTTTTATGAACAGTCCATTGAAAAACAAACATGCAAGTTTTCCCCACCAAGAACGATAAACAAATGTGCAGCCAAAGTGAAAATTCACAGAATTCACAGCACAGCAGAATAATAAACTTTCTGCCATCAGAGGACTTATTTTCCAACAGGGTGAAGCCGTCTAAGCCTGCTGCCTGTCCCTCTCCCTGCAGGAGACAGCACAACAGCACAAACCAGGTAACAAGGCGTACCTCATAGTAAAGGTTGGGCCGATTGAAGGAAGCAGTAAAGGTAATGCACTTGTGAACATGCAAAATGTTCTGAGCATCTTTTAAAACATGATTGGTAGCTGTTGCTGTCAATCCAATCAAGGGAGTATTGGGAAACTGTCTTTTCAGGATACCAAGAGACTTGTAGTCTAAGCAAGAAAACAAAAAGGGAAAAGAAAAATATTTCTCATACCACAAATGCAAACTCAAAAAAGGCGTTCATGTAGATAGTATTTAATGGGGTTATACTGCAATAAATGTTATTACTGCTAATCTACTACAGTACTAATTTATACATCCAAAGGAAGTAACAAGCAGGTTGCACTTAGCAAAACAGATGTCGTCTAATTGAACTTTAAAGAATCAATCACAGAATCATTTGGGTTGGAAGACACCTTAAGATCATATTGCTCCAACCCCCTGCCATAGCCAGGGATACCTTGAACTAGCCCAAGTTGCTCATTGCCCCATCCAACCTGGCTTGAACACATTCCAGTGATGAGGCATCCATAACTTCTCTGGGCAGCCTGTGCCAGTGCCTCATCACCCTCACAGTTCTTCCTAATACCCACTCTAAACTCAGTTTGAAGCCATTCCCCCTTGGCCTGTCACTCCAACCTCTTGTAAATAGTCCCTCCCCCATCTTCTTTTAGGCTCCCTCCAGGTATGGAAAGACTGCAATTATCAGTCACAATTCAGAAGGCAGAAATGTATGGAAAGAGAAATTCTTCAAAAGTTAAAAAATAAGTGTGGCATTGTATTAACCAACATTCAGGTTATTTTGCAGGTCTGTTTTTACAAACAGCTTTTGAGTAAACAGAGCTTTTCTAGTAAACAAGTAATGTGGAATTTGGATACATAGACCAGAGAGTAATAATAAAAAATTTTAAGGGCTCAGTACGGCTGCCTTCAAACGGAAGTGCAGCCAGAGGTACATATCCAAATTCCACACTGCCTGTTGAACTAGCCTGGCTCTTGGTTCAGGCACCACTTCTTAGCAAAACTGCTAAGAGAGACTTTACAGTTAATATTGCTTCAAATCAGGTTTTCTTTCAAAGACAAAGAAACAGCAGCCAACAATATTCTACAATCTCCAAAATAGGAAAAATAATTAAATACATTTTCTTTCCCTGTAAGTGAAGGGCATTTGTTTCCACTTGCTTTAGAGAAGATTAAAATATATCTCATGAATTTACAAAATGCTCTACCTCCTTCATCAGGGAGTGGTGTACAGAATGAGACTTTCCCGTAGCGGTAGATTAAAGGTAACTATTGTTCATATTAAAGATGCCAAGCAAAACCTTTGATTTTATAAACCTCCAATTAAAGTAAGCAGAATAAGTAATTTTTCAGAATACTGACAACAAAATCTACGTTAAAATCATAATTTGCATGAACTTAGATCCTGGATGATTTGTGAATTAAAGGCCTTGAGCTAACACAGGTATGTGTCACACATTAAGAATTCACTTAACACATGAAGGAAGCAGCTGGCCTTATTTCAGGCCCAGCTCATTATTCACTGACTCCAGAACAACCCTGCAAAGGGGATTTCTGAGGATCATACCAGGCCTGAAGTCATGGCCCCACTGACTGCAGCAATGCACCTCATCCACAGCGATGCGAGCCAGGCACCCGGCCTGATAAGCCTTCTCCAGCTTGGACATGAACATTTTGCTCTTTGCAATCTTCTCAGGGGTCACATAAATGAGCTTCAGCTGTGAATTCCTCTTCAGCATTTCCGTGTGGACCCACTTCACGTGCTCCTGTTCAAACCAAAACAAGACATCAGGGGGTAACAAACTGGGACAACACACTGGAGCTGCTTAGTGCTAAGGCTCTTAAGAGGTGATTAGCAATTCATAAGGTGTAATTAACAGACTGATAAAGTGTTCCACGGTATTGACCACTATGAGCCTTTGTAGAAGATCACTGTATAGACAATGGTCGTTTTAATACTTAGAAAATCCATGATGGAACTTTGAAGCAAAAACACATATTCAACACTTTGCTTCTTCATCGGATGGTATCAGTATTTCCCCAACAAACTGTGATGTAACAAACCTCCCTGTGATACCACAAGTGTAAAATAATGCCTTGCACACAACAGTGGTTTTTATTACTGAGTTTTCAGAGCACTCTGCATCAAATCAGGCTTCAAGTTTGGCACATTGCATCAAGCAGTGACTTATCAAATCCAGTGTAATCATGTGCAAGTTAATGATCACAGCCTCCTGCTAGTCAGGAAAATAACTGTAAAAAAGCAATTGCCTACTGGGAAATGAGTTGCTTCTTGGCCTCTGGATCAAACAACTCACCATCCTATAGTAAGAGATAGATAATTATATGTAAAAGCCTGCACTGCTCAACATGGTTGTAGTGGACAAAAATCACCTACTCCAAGTCTAGAAACTGAGTAAAAATCTACAACACACATCAGCCAAAGGTACTTCACATCCTCTAAACAGCCCAAGAAATCTATCTTTTCCACAGAAGGTGCTGATTCCCATGTGGTGTTGTCACTAAAACATGAACACAAGATACTTAATCATTTTACCCATATCACAGCACCCTCCTGGGCAGATACTGTTGCTAGAACAGCATTAGCTGATAAATCTGTCTCATCCATTCAACATTCACAGGTAAGGAGATGCCAGCACGTACACCACAAAACACATGAACTTAAACACACCTTGCTGCTTGAGGCATTTAATAAAGCTGCAGAGATACCAAGCTGCTCCAAAACCATGAGCTGATCTTCCATGAGAGATATCAAAGGACATATCACCAGTGTGAAACCTGTAACAATCATTGTGCAGTTGAGATGTCACAAATATCTCCTCTAATTCTTTTTTACTGATGCATCACCCCTGCTCTGAAGAAATTGCCAAATGTAAGCTTAAGCTTCATACACAGCAGAGGATTCTCCTCCTGGATAGCTGACAAGTGAGTGCCAGATCACACAGGGATAATTCTTATTAAATGTCCACAACATACACCTCCTTTTAAGGTCTAGACCACAAACACAACTGAGCTCCAATAGACAGGGTACAAAAATATACAAAACAAGCTGGATATCTGTGTCATGATTTGCCACAGAACTAAGCAGTGACAGGGAGTGGTAAATTTGGCCTTTGTAAATAAGTAAACTTCCAGTGCAATTGGATGAGTTATTAAAAATAAACCAACCAAACAAAAACAACACCAAGTAATGTTCATTCTCCAAATAACTATAAAATGAAGAAAATAAATCTAATTCTTTTTATTATGCCCTTTTTTTCCCCATTACATACCATCAGAACAGACAGCTGGTAACTGGTAACAAAGGCTCTTCCCACCACCTGTAGGCATGACAAGAAATATATCCTTCCCTGCCATTGCAGCATTTACTGTTTCAAGTTGCAGGGATCTAAACTTCTGGAGTTTAAATCTGCTCTGCAGTGCAGTTTTTATCTTCTCATACCATGGAAAATCTGTAAAGGGAAAAAACCAACTCAATAAGCACATTTCATAAGCAAATTAAAATATAAGAAGGAGGAGTAATTTACATATTCGATAACTAAATCTTGCAGTGACACAATTTTAGAACTGGGAAAGTGTTTAAAGATTCATAATGGCACAGAAAAAGCTCCACACAACCTGAGTCTATATACACCAAATTCCAGGGTGGACCTTTGAAAACTCAAATTGTAAACCAAATTCACCTCCAGACCGAAGCAAATGGATGTGAACTACAGATAAACTTCAGAGTGCTAACGATCATGTTAACTCATTGGTACAAAATAACTAGCAATTAGAATCCCACCTTGAAAATAAATAAAACCAGACATTGAGCCCTACAATAGTTACTCCAATGCTTCCTTCATACAAATGCAGTAGTATAAAGAAGGAGGGATACACTTTTTTCATATATTCCATCAATAATAAGCATTTATTAAAAAAATAAAGAGGGGGAAAAGTTGTTTAATCTTCCCCCAAATCAACACCCCAATGTGCTTATAATAGTTTTTTTCTTTTCTTCAACAAAGACCGAAAGACTGCATTTTTAAAAGATGTAACACTGTAAAAAATTATGCTTCCTGATGCACTTTTTGGTACTATTAAAATTAAAATGCAGAAAAACTGTGGGAGCTCCAGGTTTCACCACATACAATGCAAGAATCAATTTTGGGACTTGAGTTGACATTGCAAAGAAATTTACAAAGAGCATAGTTAAAATCCAAGGCTCTCTGAAAAAAAGAAAAGTCGCCCACTGGCCTCCATGAGCTTTATACTGGGAACAAATTTAGCTGCTGCTCTTGTTTAATACGTACACAGTATCAGATTGCAAAGACATTAATTTTCAAAGCACAGGAGGTGAGAATTAGGCATAGAACTACACAAACAAAATTATTAGTTCAATAGAATAATTTGCAATTATAAAGTATCAGTATTCTTACATATGCATTAATACTCCTCAAACACAGATAAATATGGATTCAACTACAACATTAATTTCATTTTTAAAAAAACGAAAAAAGGTGTATATCTATGACAGATATAGGCATTTTCATTTTGAAAATTAAATTAAAAAGCAGAAGAAACCCATAATATCTGAGTCAAATTTGGCAAGGTATAACATAGCCAAGAAGCAGCAACTATTCAGGACCTCTTAATGTCTAACCTGAAAGACAGCAGCCCTCCCACCACCACGAGGCACTTGCCACTTGCACTAATTCTACAATAATAATGTATTCTAGGTTATTTTTGGCAGTCAGCATCTATCTAATTTGCATTAATTTAGTAAGACAGTGAGGCTTCATGATCCATCACAAACACTACCAATGTCCGACCCACTCAAGCAAGAGGAAACACAAAACCAGCAAAAACCAAATCTAAGTACAAAATTGTCATTATCAAATCCTGAGAAAATCCAAAGCAATTTGTTTTAGAACACAAACAAGGAGAACTATTGCAATGTAAGCATTTAGTATACAAATATTGCAACAAACATTTATTCTGTGATTCTAAGAGCAAATCAGATCAAATAGTAACTTTGCAACAAGCAAAGAATTAAAGTAGTTATAGCAGGCCATTCTGACAGAACAGATAAGTCTGCCCAGAAGAACTCAAGATTAGTGTTTAGCAATGTCCAGCGAGACAAGTATAAACATTACCTCATTACCCTGGCATGTCAGCAAGCTGACTAAAATTATATAGGACAATATCATTATCCAAACAAAACTCTGCAGTTTCCCCTACTGAATTAGTTCACCTTTCTGTTAAAATATTAGACTTTGACTCTGCAAACCTTTTTTGTTCCATTCCTCAGCTGAGGTTTCAGTGTCTTTACTTCCACCTGCCTCCAAGTCTCCTGAGGACTGTTTTATCAGATTCTTTACTCTCATCTTCTTTTGAAGGAGTTCCTGCTGCTTATCCACAAGCTCCTGTATCTGCATCTCCACTGCTTGCAGCTCATTCTCAATGGACACCAGCACCTCCTCTAGCACTGCAGGGAGAAGCAAGGAGAAGGCACAATAGAGACCACAGCCATGTGCTGATGCAAGTTTTAATTGTATTAACTGCACTCCAGCCAATGATCAAGTTGTTCATAGAGAGCATTTGTTTACATGTGAGAAGCAACATTAACATTGGCAAGTTAAACTCACGCACCAAGATCTCCCTCCTCCACAGAACAAGAGGATCTGCTGAACAACAGGGTTTGGATATAGAGGGAAAATGCTTTTACAAACAAAAGCCATCCTTCACATGTGAAAGAAGTGAAGAAAATGCTCCCCAGAAACTCAGGTTACACAAGTGGCTCTTTGGCAGGATTTTGCCTCTGCCCATCCCAATATGCATGTGTATGAATTGCAGATTGTTCTAGAACCCAGTCCCTGGAGTTCAAAAGAATAATTAACACATACACCTGCATGCCAAGCACATATTCCAGAGCCAGGTCAGAAAAGCATCAGAAGGAATTCCTTCCTCCCCCACACCCAGAAACCCCAAGAGATTTTGGCCCATCCACAGCAGATACGGTAATATGGTTATGGAAACAAAAATGTGTGAGATGGAAAAATATCTTCATCTCAAATAGCACAAAATGGTGATAACTGTCTTCCTAAATGCCTACTGCTACTCAGCAGAAAAGAGTGTCTTAAAATACAATGCACATTTTTAAAATATTGAAAACCAAGTAATTTCCTTGACAAATTTGATTTTCATCATGCAATAGCTTGGGTTGGAAGGGACATTAAAGCTCATCTCATTCCAACTCCCCTGCCACTGGACCAGGTTGCTCAGAGCCCCATCCAACCATGCCTTGAACACTTCCAGGGATGGGGAATTTTGGTTTCGTTTTACCCAAGAAATGAAAAGCTATCCAGTAAAATATTTTTTTCTTCAAATCTTAAGTATAATAGCACAGACCCCACGAACTCTCTTATATATGCATTAAATTCATGTAAATAACAATCAGTAGCATCAAGTGATTGTCTTGTTAGCTAAGAGACAGCAAAATGAACACATGAAATATTAATTATGGATTACCTGCAACAGCTGTCATCTTTGGAGATTAAAGAATGTTACCTTTACGAGATCTTATTTAACCAAGCCACTGTCACTAAAAAGAAAATGAAACAAATATATTTTAAAATATATTCTATAAGTAAACCTTCTCAGCTTAGAACAAATTTACTGCAGGACATTCTTCATTACCAGAGCTGTTAGTGTAGCAGTTTAAGCACTAGTTAATTTAATTTGCTCACATAAAGAAGCCCCACTAGATGACAACTGCTTTTTCCCTTCTGCAAAATGGATAAACACAAACTCACAACCAATTTCCAAGGCCACAGCTCACCAGGCTTCTAAATGAACCCAGGTGACCTTTAACCAAGTCATACATTTCCTGCAAGAGGAATGCTCCAAGGTAGACCAGTCACTCACCAAGTGCCCATTACCAGTTTTGATCTCATCAAAGATTATTTTACAAAAAAAAGTCTGAACACATTATACTGTGCCCCTTAGAGAAGCAGCCGCCATAACACCTACAGCATCATTAAGGAGGAAGTGAAAACATGCTTTGGTTTAGAGAATGGGATCGATTTTGAACAGATCATCAGTGGAATGAGCATAGAATTTAATATATTAGCTCATTATTTGAACAACAGTCTTTGTCACATTGTACCTTAACAATATCAAACTCAAGAAATTTATATTTTATCTTACTGCATCTTGAACTATTTATTACATAGATGGAAGCAAAGTCCAGGGGAAGGTGAAAGGGAACAAATTCAGCAGATCCTGACTACCAGCTGATTCCACCATAGCAAAGATCTTCCCCACTCCTATAAATGCAGAAGGAAATATATATTAAAACTGATGTGTGAATAAAACACTTCCGCATCACCCAGGGCCGGACCCTCTTAATCACCTTAAGTTCGCCGTCAGGGGCGGCGACTTCACCGCCTCCCGGGGCAACCTAGTCCCATGTGGGAACATTCACCCGCATACAGTGTGACCAGCATACAACTATATACAGAGAACATATCCAGTGCAATGTTCCCAGCACTCCTCACCCACACGCCAGCCGCGGGCACGGCGCTTGCCGGGCCGGAAGTCGCTGCTGGGCAGGGCTGCGGGACGGGGCGGGACGGGGCGGGACGGGGCGGGACAGCCGGGCGGACGGACGGGCGGGCAGGGAAGGCGCCGCTCGGCGGGTGCAGGACGGAGCGGGATGGATGAGAAAGGGACAGAGGCCGCCAGGGCCAGCACCTCGCTGCCGTGTCCTCCCGTGCCGTGGCTCGGAAACAGCTCCCACAGATGCCCCAAGGGCTAATGCCCGCCGCGTTCCCGCATCCCCTGTCTTTTATCTTTTATCTTTTATCCCTCAGCCCTTACCCCTCACCCCTCCCGGCTCCCGCTCCCACCTGCGCCGCGCGCGCCGGCCCCGCCCCTTCCGCCTCCCGCCATCAGCCAATGGAGCTCGGGGCCCGGCGCAAGCGCCGCCCCTCCCGCCAATCAGCGCCGGCCGCGGGCCGTGGGCTGGGCAGCGCGCCCGCGAGGCCATACAAGGCGGCTGCTGATTGGCGGCCGACGCGACCAATGGGCGGGCGGCTCTCGTGCAGCGGGGTGCGTGTTTCCGGAAGACGTGGCCGCCGCCGCCGGTTCCGCTGCCGCCCGTCCCGGTCCCGGTGCCGCCGCCACCATGATCTCCCTGTCCGACACGCAGAGTAAGCGCTGCCGCCGCTCCCGCCGGGCAAGCGCGGAGGGGCCGCCCGCTGCGGGGCTGGGGGCGGCGGGGGGTCCCAGGGCGGCCGGGCCCTCATCCTTTGTCCGCGGCGGGGCCTCCCGGGAGCGGCCGGGCAGGGTCCGGCTGGGCCCCGCGGCGGGGTGGGGGCGGACAGGGGTGGGGGAGCTCTCGCGGCCGCATCCCCGCAGTGGAAGGCGCGGCGGCGGCCCCGGTGCGGCGGTAGCGGCGGGGAGCGCGGCAGTGGAAATGGGGCGGAGAGCGGCGGGTCTGCGCCCGCCGGGACCCTCGCCCTTAGGAGAGCTCTGCCGCCAGCGCGGCCGGCGTTTGTCCGGGCTGCGAGTGCTCGGTGTGCTGTGCTGCGCTGCGGTGTGGCCTTCGCTGGAAGGGACCCTAAAGATCATCTCGTTACAGCCCCTGCTAATGGCAGGGACCCCTTGCACTGTCCCGGGCTGCTCAGAGCCCGTCCAGCTGGCCGGAACACTTCCAGGCATGGGGCAGCCACAGCTTCTCTGGTCTACCTGCTCCAGTGCCTGGCTAGCCTAACAGGAAAAAACTTCCTGTTACCTAACCTAGCCCCTGTGTGGGTTTGTACCCATGGCACTTGGAGCGCTGGGAATGAATGAATGAAAGCTGAGCGGTAAACAAAGTAACGCTTAGCTCCCCTCTTGCCGTGTACCTCCCGGTGGACGTCAGTGGTCTGGAACCGTTTAATTATCTCGGTAGGAAATAGTTTTACTGTGCTGCTCTTGCTGCTACCACACCAAAGGTCTGCAGCTGATGCTGAGCGGGCTTCAAGGTGAGGCCAAGACATAGAAGTGAAAAATAGTAAAAATATTTGTATGCGGCCATAGTTTTGTTTCCACTAAAGTGCTTGGAAATAGAGATCAAAGAAACGAAAGTAAAGAAGTTCCTAAGGGTGTCCTTAGCCAGGAGCGCCGGTGGTGTCCTGGGTGCTCTGAGAAGTGTGGCCGGCAGCTCAGGGCCATCCTGCCCCTCTGCCTGGCCCCACGGAGGGCACAGCTGGAGGGCTTTTCTGTGCAGTCCTGGGCTCCCCAGAACAGCAGGGACAGGGAGCTGCTGGAGAGGGGCACGGACATGGTGAGGGCTCTGGAGTATCTCTGCAGTGAAGAGGGACTGTGGGAGCTGGGCCTGTTTATTCCAGAGAAGACTGAGGGGGATTCCATTAATGCGTGTAAATATCTCAAATGGAGGCCAAGAGGACGGTGCCAGACTTTTCAGTGGCGCCCAGCAACAGAACAAGGAGCAGTGGCCACGAAGTGAAGCACAAGGAGTCTAATCTCAGCATGAGGAAGCCCTTCCTTACACTGAAGGTGGCAGAGCCCTGGAACCATGTCCCAGGGAGGGTGCGGAGTGTCCTTCTCTGGAGCCATCCCCAACCCACCTGCAGACATTCCATTGTCACCTGCAGCAGGTGGCACTGCCTTGGCAGGGGGTTGAACTGGATGATCTCCAGAGGATCCTTCCAGCCCTAACAATTGTGATTCCATGATAACAGCTTAAGCTGCAGGGTAAAGGACAATGATAGGCCTTTGATTTAAATGACCATCTCATGTATGGTGCATTTCTGGTATGATTGCCACAGAAGGAAATGAATCTGCCTGATAAGCACCACAGCATCAGTTATGAAGGAGGGTGTGAAAAATCTAGGAAAAAAAAAAGTCAAATTTGGTAGCAGGATACTGGAAATTGAGGTATTGGAGAGCCAGTTAAGACCAAGGATGAAGACAGGCAGCAGAGTTTAGCAGCATTCAGGGTCAACGATTTCTTGAGATACTCCGATATTGTGCTGTTATACTGGGATGATTACTAATCCTTGGGGTTAACTTTTAGGTTTCTGATTGATTAAACCCTTGTGGGCTTTACTTTTGCCCTTAACTTTCTGTTTGGAGTATCTGTTGGGCAAAAAAATAAAACTCTCTTCAGAAAGAGACTCACTGTTTTTATTTTGCTTGGTGCCTCATGTGGGACCTTCAGCTCTTTCCAGTGCTAAGACTGTTGGTTTTAACTATCAGAGACAGGAGTATTAAATAAAATACTCTGACATTTAGGGGTTTTAAGTGTGGGTTTTTTTCAGTTTTTCTGAAATTCTGAAGATAGTTCATCAGATATTTTAAAATTCACTGCTGTCTGGAAAAATACAGAGTTAGCCATAGAGTCACCGGTAGAGTAGTGTGATAAATACCTGGAGAGAACCACTGTTGATGTTTGGAAAGTTAATTCTGCAGCTGTAGTTTAGAACATAATTTTAAGTGGTCCATTGAATGGTGCTACAAACCACCAGTAATTGCAAAAGAAATCACTTAGCTTTTCCCAAATTCAATTTTTAATACTAAAACATACTGCTAACAAAATAATAGTTATGCATTGAATATAAACTGTATTTGTTTTTGTCTTCTAAAAGTCTATAGCACACAATTCCATTTTATTTTGCACTATATTATGCACAGTAAAAGAGACTGGCGATATGCATTGTCTGCCCTAATCTTTCACAAGCAATCTATCTTAAGTTTGAATTTTAAAATCTACTAAGCTGTTTTGACACAGTGCTGCAGTAGTCTTGCACAGCTTATGGAATTTCTGGAGAAACATTGATGAAGATTTGTTCCATTGTCTCAGGAAATCATAATAATCCAGAATAAATACAACCCCGCTAGTGTATATTTCTAGGCATTGATATGTTGTATTTGACTAATGTGGGAAAGCTCTTCTGGCACAGGAAAAAACATTTTAAAATAGTTTGCTCCCTCTATAAATATTCATAGTTTGTTGCTGAAAAGATTTTACACAAAATGCCAGCACTTTTTCTTCCTCTGAGAAGTGTAATTAAATATATTTACAAATTCTGATACAAATCAAGGCAGTAACACCCTCTGCTGAAATATCAGCACTGGAGGATAATAGTCCTGGACCATTCCTCTTCTTCCAGCAGTTATTTTGGGATAATGAGAATAATGTTCCTTTCTCTTTTTTCCTTTTCCCTCCACTAAGCAGAGAACATGGGTGACTTCTGCAGTGAATCAGAGCCCATTGTGGCAGAAGTGATGACAAACAGATTTGGGGTGATTAGAGAGGTGTCAGAGCGTGCCTCCTTGCCAGATCGGTACCTTGAGCTGTGTCTGGGAGGAGCGAATACTCACTTCCCATGACTGCGTATTTATCTTGCTGGCAGCTGCTAATTCCTGTGGAATTCTGCCTCCAAGTGTTTTCCTTCCAGAATACAGATTGTTTCTGCTCTTCTGAAGTAAAGAGTACTGGAGAAAAGGGCACTTGTGATTGTTACATTGCCTTCAGTCAGCAGATCCATTGAAAATACAATTTGCAATTCTGTTTTTCATTGTAAACAAGTAAGGAGAGTGCTTGTAGTAAATTGATTGGCTTGAGTTACTTAGTGCTTTTAATTGTGGGGTGTTAAAATGCTCATAGTTAAAGTTTGAAGTGGCAGGGTATATTATAGAACTACAGCTCTAACAGCATGTGCTCTGCAGCCTTGCTGAAAGCCAAGCCCTTGACAAAGTTTGGGGAGTGGAATGTTGCTGTAACAAATCTCTGAGCTGTGTTGAAATTTATTTCCAATAACTACTTGGAAGTCCTGAAACAGGCATAATTATCCTCCTTTACTCCCAAGCTCATCAAGCAAGAGCAAACGACCAACTACATCAACAAAGTGCAATTAAAATACATGGAGGCAGATCTGGCCAAGAGTAGCAGTGAGGGCTGTGATTGTTGATGTGGTTTTTTGTTTGTTTCAGGACAGGCTACACAAAACTACTTGGAACTTCAAAATACACATATTAGTATAGTATTCGGGTGGATTTTGCTAAGCTATTTTTGTTTTGTAATTTAGAAACCTGTAGGTTTCTATGTCTGGTCACAGTGAAAACAATTATAAATGCATGTGTTTGCAGCCCTGTTGCTGCTGTTCCTGGTTTTTCCTCTTCCATTCAGTCTATGTGAGAGTCAAAGGAAGGCTTTAGGGATTTAAAATTAAAAGCAAGATGTATTTCTAATAGCAGTCTTCAAGATACTTTAGAGGCTATAGTCAAATGGTAGTTTTAACCCTAGCTTGACATTTCTAGCCCATTTTCTCATAAAAACCTTTCATCTTGGTTTCCCAGTATTTCTTGAGCATCCTTTGCGGAACTCAAACTTTATAGAACTGTTTAGCCTGGAAAAAAACCTTTAAGAGCATTGTGTCCAGCTGTTAACCTAGTACTGGCCAGTCCATAATAATAAGCAAATATATAAAGTACAAAAGGTATTTTTTAAAAATCTGCAAATTAAGATCATAAAATGAAAA